AATTGATAAAAGTTGAGAATCCAGAAATGCTTCTTGTGCATTGTGTTACTCATAGAGAAAACCTGGTAGCTAAAAATAATTCGCCTGTTCTAAATGAAGTACTAAATTCAGTTATAAAGTGTATCTATCGATGCTATTAAAGCTAAGGCCAAATGTGATCGTCTTTTCAAGTTATTTTATGAAGAACAAAATGAAGACTATATGACACTTTTCACACTGAAGTAAGAAGGCTGTCGAAAGGGAACTGCTTGGAAAGAATTATGGAACTATTTGATACCGTTAGTTATTTTTCAAGCGACAAACTTATTTCAAGTTAAAAAAATCCGTTAACGGATGATAACAAGGCAATTGTGAGTTATTTAGCTGATATCTTTCAAAAATTAAATACAGTCAAAAGTCGTTAATCCGGACTCGTCGGGACTTCGGCGATTCCGGATTATCGATTTTTTCGGATTATAGATCATCAGTTTAAATCTGGTAAGATGGCATGCAAAAATTACAAAATTAAAAATGTGAAACCGTAATTTATGAAATAAAGAACAATTATGATCTAAAGGGTATCAAAATTTACAAAAAGAAAAAAAGCTTAATATTTATTTGTTTACTTTATTAAACATTTCCTTCAATGTAAGTTGCTTCGTTTCATGTGATAATACTTTCTCTTTAATTCTATTAAACAGACATAATTTCTTGTTTAGTTACAAAGTTCCGCTGTTCAAGTGCTATAATTGCTGTGTTGAGAATACCCGAAATGTTTTCGTTTTCAATAACCTCTGGGTCACTTTCTTCACTATCCGAAGCGAATTATAATGACCAGGAACTTGATTTAAATCATATCAAAAGACAGAGTACCGAATTATAATCCAAATAAAATAAAAACATCTGCTCTGAAGATAAGGATAGTGTTGACAGATCAACTTCCAATCGGAGGTGTGAAATTCACAAACAGATTTCGGATTTCAAAACATACTTTCGCTTTGTAGATACAAATTACATATTAGTAAATATATATTGGAAATTCTATTTGACATAATCTTTCTAATCTATCATAATCTAATAATGACATTTCTGCCCCCACCCCTCTGCCGCAGAGTAGCGTGAAATTGATAAACAGATTTCGGATTTCAAAACATACTTTCGCTTTGTAGTAAATATATATCAGAAATTCTATTTGACATAATCGAAAGTTCAAGCTTACTTTTATAAAATTGCTCTAACAGTCTGCAAAAAATAATAAGCCGGATCCAATTTGAAGATTAAGGAACAACGCAATCAGCAACATTAACTGAATTAGATAACTTTAGCTTAGCGTATAACTCCGTTACACATTAAACGCGCATACGCACGCACAAACATATTCGCAGCCGTAAGGGTCTTACGCTCTCTCGTAAACGCCTGTGCGCATGCGTGAACGCGAAGCATGCGCAGAAAGTTTGTAGCTTTGAGGTCCGGATTATGGGTGTCCGAATTAACGACTTTTGACTGTATATTAAATAAACAACTTCAAGGAGCAAATAAAACTTATGATGCAAAAGGAAGATATTCGGTTTCATTATATTTGTTGAATTATGTCAGGCATCTACTATTTACCACAAAAATTTTGAAAAGTCTCATTGGCTCCAAAAATGTGACGTGACTACCGCTATACTTGTTATTATCGATTATCTGAAATTTTTATCGGCTGATTTAAAAGATTTTGCAACTTAAAACAAATCGATTTTCCAACTGGTATGATGCAGCCAATGCTAGTGGATTTGGCTGATATTTAAAATATGCAATAAAAAGAAGAACTCGCAGAAATGCAAAATGATGAGTCAATTAAAACGTTATTTAATATAAAAGGAGCGATGACATAGATTTGTGAGGAAACCAGAATCAGATATCCAAATGCAACAAAATTTGCAAGAGAACTATTGTTACCATTTCCATCTTTATATTTTGCTGAATGCAGATTTAGTGCCATAAATGCTGCTAAAAAAAATCGGTTGGATATAATGAAAGAGGGAGACTTGAGACTCAAGTTACCTAAATTGGAACCTGACATAAAATTTCTTTGCAGCAAGTATCAAGTGCAAGGAACTCGCTAAATTTAAATAATAAAAATTATTAATACTTAAAATAAAAAACTTTCACTTCTTGAATTTCAGTTCTCCATGTTTTGACAGTTCACTTACTGTGTTTCATCACAAAACTTCATAGTCATTTCTTCCTAAAAGCTATCATTCAAGTTTCTTTCGTGAATATTTCAATTTTTAAATATTAAAAATTATGTATATGCTAGGGGGAACGTAAAATTTTTAGAGAGGATTGGGTGGGGCATAGCACAAAAAAGGTTGGGGAAACACTGCTCTAGAGGCTCGGTGGTCGCGCCTTGAAACCACTGCTCTTCAAAATGGCGGTTGCTTGCTTCTCAAATAGAAATGTTTATTTTTACCTGGATATAGATAAAGGGTTTCGAAACCACAGAGTGATTTTATTACTAAACAATACATGCACCTGCCCAGTAAAAAGGTTTTTCTTTTCCAGAGACTTCTCTGGTCTTTCTCTGACCTCAACACACTTGCTCCTCAAGCTAGTATTGTGATTTTATAAATTATTTCCTGTGGTTTAAATTTAATGTAAATATACTTTGCTGTAATTAAAAATAGAAATCGCATAAAGTTTTATTTAAATAAAAAATATTTTCTGAATATTTTGGGACGAAATACGAATAAAATAAGTATGAATGGGAAACGAATGATCCGTACCAAAGGCAAAACGACCAAGCCCCCCCCCCATTAACATAAAAAAAAAAGACAAATTTCATGTGCCAGATGAAAAGAAACTAAATAACGCTGGACACATACCAGTGAAATTTAGATCCAGGCAGTGTACATTTTGTAGTAGCACAAGGAAGAAACCTCATAGAAGATAAATGTGCAATGTGGGTCTATGCATGTACCAAAAACACAAAACACAACAAACAAAAAACAGTGTGAACAGTGTCACAAAAAAAAAATTTGTTCTTTGAAATTAAAAAAAAAACACCAAATCTTTTTTTATCCTTATTTTACTGAGTTTTTTTAATCCGTGTAGCCAAACTTCCTTATTATGTAGGTACTTTCATTGCTATAGAAAAATTACATAAATGTTTATTTTTTAATTTTTTCTGACGATTTGCTTTATAAAATAATGTAAAAATATATATATTATGCAATTCCTACATGCATTTTTTTTTTTAAATTTTGCCATTTATTGGAAATGCGCACGGAGAAAGTTTTTTCTTTTCACTACTTAGATAAGTTTCAAAGTCCTAGATGCGCGATGGTTTCACAGTGCGACCACCATCCACAAAACAATGGGCAAGAGTAGATTTTTTTAATTCATATATTATTTGTCTCTAGAATCATAATATTCAATTTCTAGAGTTTTTAGTTAAAAAATTATAAAAATAATATCGCGCGCGTCAAAGGGAATAAGCTTACATTCCTTCGTGAAGTGATGATTAATAACCACTCCTAACAAAAAAAAAAAAAAAAAAAAGGACTCACTACTGCCAAAGACGATTTGATTATAAGAAAAAACATGCAAATTTCATTCTGTGTTCAAAAAAAAAAAAAGTTTCTTGTCGCCTTTGCTTATACTGTAAAAAAAAAAAAAAAAATATATCTGATGTAACACCTGTTTTCCCATACCAAAATCTCCTCAGTAGTATACATGTGAAATCAAGCTATTTCAAAACCAACTCATAACTGTCATATACAGGATAGTAAATGTCTTTCCATATTCCATACCATATATATATATATATATATTATATGCGCACCTGCCAACATACTTCATTAGTGTCTAGAAAATGTTGTAGTATAGATTACTTAATCTCATCCTTATGTTTCTCATCTTGAGGATCTTCTGGGTATACTTCTGAATGTTATTACTGTTAAATATTAAGCAGTTTGTTCATTATTCATATTTAGAGCTGAGGGTTTTTTTAATATAAATTAATGCTGCAATCCTATTTCAATTACTACACAAACATGACACTCTGCATTATTATTTATTAACTTTACTATGAGAGAAGAAAAATTTCAGGGGTAGTAAACAAACTTGAATGCAATGTATTAACACACCCTACATTCTTCTTCATTGATTTGAGGGACTTGTTTCCACAAACTAAATTACTTTTCTCATTATCGTTAGCATTATTATTTGGTCTATGTTCTCAACACATTACCATAAAATGACTCCTTAAACATAAAAAACATTTTTATAGAATACTTACAGTCCCTTCCATTATGTCTTGATTTCAAACAACAAAAGCAGTGCCTTTTTATTTAACACAGTTTTCTTCTTTTGTGTCAGTGACATATTTTTAATTCTGAAACATTTGTTATTGCTAATAAACAAACATTACTTAAATTATTTTCTCTAGCAATGAATAAATCAGCAGCATTGGGAATTTCTTTATTTGCTTTTGAATTAACCATTTTATGTTCCTTAAAAAATTTATTCTTAAAATTAAAACCTGTAACTGCAACTGAAATTTGTTGCTCATTTTGACTTCATTTCATATAAATTTCACTAATTATCAAGGCAAATGTTTTGGTGCTCCACCAAATGACTGTCTCTGCCAGACTCTTAATAATTCTTCAGGAATACAAGACTAAATCAATAGGAACAGAATAGCATTGTATGTTTTGGTTGCTATACCTAAAGACCAATGCCCTCAAATTAAATTCTAATTTGTCCTATAATGCTGAAGATCTCAACACAGAGGAGGGCACTTGAATACTAACCAAGAATCTAAGACACTAAAGAGTTGAACACGAAGCATTTCTTTATGGCTACTTCCATTTATATAGGAAAGATTAATGGCATTATCATCAGCACTACAGCAAGCAAGACAATGCAGATTTCCAACAGAAAAAAAGGGAGGATTTTTAGGGGGAAATGGAGATGAGTGGTTCGTAGGACTATCTGATTCAATTAAAATTAATAATTAATTCAACAATTCAACTTACCTAAAGTTTGAAGTAAAATATTTTCAAGAGCAACTACTTCATACTGTTTTTCTAAATATGCCTTAAAAAAAAAAAAAAATAGAAGTTCATCAATATTTCTTTACAATCATTTAATAAATAATTTCATTTACTTCGGCACTTTTTAAAATTGAAATTTACTTTTAATATTCATTAAAATAAAATATAAAATTTAACATTTAATATAATTACATTCGTTATATTAAATGTTTAATATTGATATTAGTACATAAAGAATTAGTTAATATATTTGAAATTATATTGAGAAATGTATTCTGAAATTACCGAAAATAGTTGTGGGAAATTTTTACCATTCAATGAACATCCAATCGAGAACTTATTTACATAATAAGTTCAAACACTGGATATGATATAGCCCCTTGATTAAATTCGAAACCTTGAAAATAGAGCAGAAATTTATTATTTAACTACCAGGTGCCATTACTAATTTGCCAGATAACAGGTCTGGCAAATTAATCTGGGAGCATTTTAACACCAAGAAATCAATCCCTCATTTAACCTGTTGTAATAGAAAAAAGAATCATTAGAATTCAGAACAGATGGATTAAGGGCGGAAAAAAGATTGGAAAAAAAGGTATCCAATAATAAGCAACTACACTTTTTTTTCCAAAAGAATAATTTCATTTATAAAAGAGAAAACATTCAGTGCAGCATGAAATTTGATTAACAAAGCTGACAAACTAAATTTTTGGTGTGCAAATTAATTTGATGCCTTAAAAAAAAAATTTAATTCCAAGAGTCATACAAATTTCATATTTAAATGTCCATTATTTTAATATGGCTTTGCTTTTAAGCAAATGAAAAATAAATTTGAATAAACAGGCAATTCTGAGTTAATAAAACATTTTTGGATTTCTTCCACTATCTTTATACATATCACCCAGGTAATGTTGAAATGACCCATGCAAATGGTAATTTGATGGGGTCCATGTCTAGTTACCTATTACGCTATCCTCATAAAAATCTTTATGCAACCTTTATTTTCACACCTGTTCTTCACAGACATATACATTCTACATACAAAAATATTTTAGATAAGGCAAATATTCATGTTTTGACCATTTTTAATTTACAAAAAAAAAAATAATTTCTGAGAAAACTATGCAGTCTAAGATATGGTTCCCAATACATATTGTTATATGTAAAAATAAAAGTTTATATTGATTTTGAAGATAAAACATAAAAAGTTTGCCTCCCATATAACAAAAATGACTAAAATATTGCAATATTTGGATCATGCACTCCAAAAATTTAGAGACTGCACGCAAACTGAAGAGTGAAATATTTAAATTTCTATGTAACTAAAAGAGAATTTATTCATTCATTTTACAGAATTGTATTATGTAAAACAGAAACAGGCTTCAAAATATTAGCATATAGCTAACTCATAACATTGTTTGCAAAAATAATAATTGGAAAAAAATCTGTGAATGACCAAGGCTTACTTGGGTCTATACGAAAATTAAAGCCTTGCGCAGTTGACTTTCCCGAAAGCAGAACTGCAGGAAACTTATCCCTCCCCAAGCCACTGAAGCTACAGACTACTCACCAGAAAACTGGCACTAATGGAGACAGCTAAGTGCTCCTCATTTGAATTGTAGTGAGGCCAAAGCAGCATGCTAGGAACAGTACCTCACCCCTCCTTTCCAGCCACATGACACTAGCAGCAAATGCACTGGCAGTTTTCTCAACACAGTAAGCCAAAGACAAAAAATTTATCACAGCATCTTACAAGAAAAAACTATAAGGCAGAAAGGAAGGGAAAAGTAATACCTATGAGAAGAGGAAAAGAGGACAGATTGTTGAGGCTCCAAGATTGTAACACCTCTGAGGGCCCATTATAATTCTAATCACTTTAAATATCTTCATTATGTATATATTTGGCTTCATATGTATACCTACAACTTCCTTTGATGTATGATTATCCGCGTTTTGTACTTGCAATGAGATCTGTTATCACATACGCGAGTTTAGATAGATTTTGAAACTGAATTTCAGTTTCTAAATAATAGAAAATTATCATAGTTATTCCAAAAGGAAGCCAAACAAAATTGAATAAATTATTATTAAACAAGTAAGAATTCTAGCATACTTTTCACCATATTTTTAGTGAAAATTATTTAATAATTTTTTACATATAATTGCACAAATATTTTTATTTTCAAATAAGTTAAACTACCAGTACATACATAATTAAAAGCTTCACGGACTATTATTGTCTATTTCTTTTACTTTCTTAGAAGAAAACACTGAATTAAATAGTGTATTTCAAATATAGATACAGTGATAACTCAAATGCAGTATATTTCTAAAATGTGTTATTAAAGTGTTTATAAATTAAAGATTTGTTACATTTAAAAATATGTTTATATCTTTATTAATGCATATATTATTAAAATTATAACTAGAGATATATTTCTGATGATTTTGCTGCACTAATATTCTAATTTAAATTTTTCCCCCTTTTTTCAATGTTGTGATTTCCACAGGGTTGCCACTCAAACAGGAGAATGAAATTCCCTGACTTTTTCAGGGTTCGTTTCAAGAAAATTCCAGTCTATCCGCGTAATGCATGTTGGCTGTGCCAAGAGGTAAATTAATTATGGCATTACTTGTGTTGTGTAGCAAATTCACTTAATTATTCACTAAATCCCAGGGGACATTTATTCTTACTTATTCTTGGTATACTTTGTTTGATAATTTTGTTTACTTTCCCATTTAAGAAACTTAGAAAATTTAAGATATATACATTGGATACCAACTGTGTATTTTATTTAATTATTTTATTACTCATGATAATCATCAGTTCAACTTGAGGTTAAACCTGTCCTTATAAATCACAACGCAATGCTAAGTAGTTAGGTTAGATTTTAGGTAAATTTAATTTGTGTGAGGTGTGTTCTTAAAAGGCACCTTAACACTTGAAAACACAAATATAATTATAATAGAGTTGTTTTCCCCACTGAAGATTGAGATTAGAATCTGCCCAATCTGGAATAAAATGAGGCTTTTTTTGCAGACATTCTGCAGCTAAACGAAAGAAAGAAATCTATTTAATAATATTTTTTTTAATAAATTGAGGTATTTTATATTTATTTCACAGCATACATAAGGAAAAAATGTGTGCATTAAATTTCGTGATGGTAGTCATCATACTGCTAGAATTAATTTCAGGATTACGCCAGAGAAAATTTCCTGAAATTTGGAAATATTATTTACTAATAATAAATAGTTACATAAATAATAACATTAAATGATACAAATAACATAAAAATAAAGATAATTAAAAATTGAATTAGAATAATCAACAATATTTTAGCGAATATAGTTATATTACATGGTTAGCCTAGATGACTGATTACTATTTTTTATTTTACTGCAAAATGACAAATAAGGTATTTATTAAAAAGGGAAGAAAAAAGGGTTAAAAAGATTTTGCGGTAAAATCCTAGTATACGGTAAGGCCTAATAAGCACGATTTTGAAAATTGTCATCAAGACCAAAATGACCCGTTTACTGCTCATCATCATGTCGCCAAATCCCGTGTGTACTGTACATGGAAGTTATTCTAACCAAAGAACGTTTATGTGAAGAAGAAAGAGGTTCCATACACATAATGCTATTACGCCGCTAGAAAGCGAAGGGAAAATTTGCCAAGGGATTTGGCGACGGAACCTGGCAGCCAGAATTTCCCCTCTACATGATGTGTACAGAAAATTGTGTATGTATGTGATTATGGCAAAGCCTCGAGGGCTACCTGCCTAAAAGGAGGGATGCCTTCGTGGAGGACTTTTAGGATTATTGCATAACTCTTGTTAAGCATTGTCTCTAGCATTAAGAGATTGCATAACAAGAGTTATGCAAACTTCTTTAATACTTTTTCGATGTAACATTTATTTCCAACACACAATCATTTTTGTTTATATATTGTAATACTATCACATTACATCTACAGCAATATTTTATGAAAATATTATTTTTATTACCAGCTTTCTAAAGACCATCCCATGACTTCCCTACTTTAAAAAGTTTTACAATATTCAAAATTGTACAATTGTAAGCTGCAAGACCCACACTAGTCATTTTGCCACTGCTGCGCTTTGTTCCTGGATTCTGTTGCCCAGTGGCTCTGCCACCTCTGAACTCTGCCCTACTAGTTGAAACCAGCACCCAATGATTATTTTATCCAGTATTTATCATGCCACACATTATTCAATTCATCATAAGATAATAAAATATCTTTTGATAAATTCATATTTTTCTTTTTCAACTTTAGTTTTCTGTTACAGCTTTCAAATCTACTTAAATTTAAAATATTGCTTATAAAAGACAATGGCAAGTTTAATTTATTACTAGCACATTAACACACCTCAAAATCTATGCCATATTCGACTTGTAAAGTAATTCAAGTCAGAAATAAAAAGGCTACTCCATTATTGTACATAAATATTGAAAGCAAAGATAAGAGACCCTTTTACTTTTCTAGCTAAAGAACTGTTAAATATTTTCTTAACAGTTTTTTTTTTCGGAGGGGGGGAATTAAGTAATTTTATGCTATTTTACTTTTTTGATCTAGGTTAAAAACATAATTCTACATATTCTCCCTCTCAATGGTATAATAAAGATAATCATGTTTTCGCTCGTTTTTTTACTTGTATTATCAAGCATGCAGAATGATTATTTGAATATATCAAAGCACACAAGAAATATCTGCTTACTGGGAGGGATGTCCTTCTGGAGGATTCTCTAAGAGAAAGTGCTTTGTATTCATGTTACCACAGAGTATACAGAAGGAGGGGAAACTGGTATTACAACTTTTCCCAAAAATTGTCCACTTTTGTCGCATTATTTATAGAGGGTGCTGCAATCGTTAGCTTTTCTACTTTTCGTAGGATTTGACATAGGCAGCAATACAGAAAATATTGATTTGATATCAATTTCCATCATGAGTAATTCTTGTAATGCAACCTGCTTCGTCCCTGGATGCAACAGTGCTTATACATCTGTTATTCAGAATAATAAAAGCTTGGGAATCAAGAATCCAAGTATATTTAGAGCTCCAAAGGTGAGCAACATTTATATCATGCCTGATCAGACGAATTTATATAACTTTACAGAACGTCTGGATTGCTAGTAAATAAGAGAGTATTTAAAAAGTAATAGATTGGAAATTAGTTAAATATTTCACAGAACTTTAAATTGGAAATTAGTTAAATATTTCACAGAACTTAAAATTGGAAATTAGTTAAATATTTCACATAACTTATGTGCATTTGCATTTCGTGCATGAAAGCAGACAATCCTGAGATTTTAAAGTTAAATAAATTTCTGGAATTATGCAAGAATGATGGAATATTTGCCTCTTTATTTCATTTACAGAAAAGAAGATTAACTCATTTCCCCTTCTTTTCCGTTTGAAGTACGTTTTTATAACAAATGGAAATGAACACTGTTCTGCTTAAAATTAACTTTACTTGCATGGTTGAGTGAAAACATAACAGCAGATAAGTGTAATGAAAAATTGATTTTCCATGAGATAAATTCAGCATATTAAATAAGCTATGAATATTATAAAATCATGCCATGTTACAGTTTATGTAGCTGGTCACGAGAAAGCGCAGCGTTTTTTACTTTTAGCTTGTTATATTTTTCTTACCACATTACGGATTTTTGAGATAGATGTAGTGGCAACCAGAAAAACATGATGAATGTTCTAATGTAAGCATACAATTCTTGTACATTAGCTGTAAATAAAGCTTTCTGTGTGATAAAGCAAAATGGAAAAGGAATTCCAAGTGTTCCTGTGGATATTCATTAAGATAAGATAAGCAAAAAAAATCACTTATCGAAATGTTGAATATAAAAAATAAGAATAAGAAAATACAAATAAGAAAAAATATCATAAGTTGCAACATGCCATCTAATCACATAATTGAATGGCTGTTAAAAATTAAGTTTTAAATCTTGATACACTGCACAGTGAGAACCATTATGCACAAGGATTTTAAATTTGAATGTGTAAAACTATTCAAGCATTATGTGCTGGAATTAAATTTCAATTTGCCATTACTATCTTCAAATTAAATTTTAATCATTAAATATTAAATTTGCATCAAAGTTACGTTAAAAAAATTGCATACGACAAGAGTGTTTTTATTTTGTATGTAACTGAATTCTGATATTTATACATACTTGTTGAAATATATTTTACAGGATCCTGTGCTGCTAGACAAATGGAGACATGCAATTCTTGGGCCGACCAAATACTTTCAGAGAAGGATGTTGTATGCGAGTATCATTTTGCAGAAACTGATATAAAACGATTTTACGAGACCAAGTTGTCCGATGGGACAATATTCAAGTTGGAAATGGGCCGCCCTAGACTCCAAGAAGGAGCAATACCCTCAATCTTTCCAAATTTGCCTTCATATTTATCCAAACCGTCACGTAAAAGAAAAGCACCTACTACAAGAAATGTGCCTGTGAATAAAAAGAACGCTCCATTGGTTGCATATAATGTTGCCGCTACTAAAAAGGATTTTACATTTCCACTGTTGACTGAAAGTCTGCAGAAGATTTCCAAACCACATTATTTGTGGACTGTAAATTCTGTAGTTGAATTCATTGTATGTGCTCGATGGGCAACTAATTACATGTATGAAAAAAAGGGTTATAATTGATAAAGATATGGCTATAAAGGTTAGTTTTCTTTTGACATTTTTATAATTTCAGTATTGTGCGTCAAACTGCGCTTGGTACTATTGTGCTACACATTCATTGTAGTTTCCCCCCCATGTGTAATTTATTCTTCACTTATTTATTGTTATTTTTTTAGATTTCTACATTATCTTTTCTGAATTTGAGCTATAAATAGATTTTTTTTTTTTTTTTTTTTTTTTTTTTTAAATTAAGGAAATTGTTAGAGATGAAGATACTTGTCTGTAGTGTCTTAGAAGCATTATTTTTCAATCAAAAACATGTTCTGAGAGACATAACATGAAATTATGTCTCAATGGAAATGGATTAGGCACATTTCATTGTCATTGGTCATTCTATTTTAAAATCTTTTGAAATCAATTTGAAACATACTTCTCAAATAAGAAAGATATGGAAATTTTTAACAGAAAATGATAAAAATATCAAAAATCAAAACTGACATTTGATTCATGAAAAAGAATAACTTATTATGATAGTGAAAAAAATTTACTGGCTATAGCAAAAAATTCTATAAGCTTCATTAAAATTTTGCCACAGTTTATATCAAGCTGTGTATCTAAGCATTTTACAAAATGACAGACGCGAAGAAACTATTCTAATTAAATTTAATATATATACAGCAAGTATTATTACTAGTAATATGATTATTTTTCTAAGGGGGAGGGACTGAAAAATATCATTAAATTAATCATTCATAAATCTTCAAATTGATCATTCATAAAAAGTACTACAAGCCTTACAGCATGAAAGCTGTAAATTAATTTTATAATTTGAGGAATAAAATACAATCATTAGTGAGCAGAATATTATAATGTTGATAATAACGCAATCCATGACATTAAAAACATAAACATTTGTTCATTCGTAAGTAAGCTTCGCCGCCTGCCTACTCAATAAATGTTTACATTTGGACTTACTAAGATGGAACAACAGCGCCATCTAGTGAAAGCGACATTTTAGGACCGTTTTTCTACTAGACAGTTTCACCTCCTTCATTATACTCCATGCATGTTACCCATGACCATTTGCCTGAGATTCAACCCATATCAAACTCCTACTGTTCAACCATCTTAATCACTCAGCCATTGATGGAGCCCAAAAACGGAGTAAATATTCATAGTTCAGTTCCATATGTGCATTTATCAATGGTCAAAATCTCCTGGGTTCCTGTAGTGACAGAATGATTAGTCATTCTAATTATGATCAAACACCTACAAAACACAATCGAGGGATCTGACTTCTCTTCCTTTAACCACCAAACACTCATGAGAACTTTCAGAATGGCACGGTTTAAGTATCACATTTGACCATATACTTACAATTCAGTGGCGTAGCTAGGGTGGGGCAAGAGGGGACATCTGTCCCCAGGCACCAAATTGATGCTACAAAATTTTTTAATGAAATGTTTCCCATTCTTGGCATAGAGAAAAGGGCGCAAATTCTTCAGTTGTCCCCGGGCGCTGGAAACTCTAGCTATGCCCCTGTTACAATCATAATATCATACCATAACTACCATATTGATCTCAGTCCAATGGCCCAGAAGCTAGTTTCTAACTTCACACTACTCAAGATGGCAAAGATCATACTTTGCAGTAATAACTAATGAGAAATTCCAACACATTAAAAAAAAGAAAAAACTAAGCACGTTAAGGAGACGACTTACCTCTAATTTAAGCAGAAAATATATATGCACATAAATCTTACCTCTGATTTAACATCTAATGGTGGGGCATCTTTATGAAGGCAGACATGAGCAACTTTTATAACATGTTCTAATTTCCTAGGCTGTTCTTCAATTTTTGCTCCTAGGAATAAAGCAGCAATGGATAGACTCTAAAAAATAGAGAGAATATAATGTATAAATAACAATAATAGAAATTATTCTAATTTAAAAAAGAATAAAACTAGGTATGTGGTTAAATTTATGAAAACAGAGTTTTTAAAAATTTTTCAAAGATTGAAATACTAAAAATAAAAATAAGCAGCTACACCTCAAGGCTATAAATTCCTCTAAATAAAATAAAAAAAATACTTTAAAAACATAATATATTTCAAATCTTGATGGAAGAAGAAAAACTTCACATTAAAGAAGTTCTTATCAATATATTTCACAATACAACATCGGTATACAGCACAAACACATATGTGACAAATACATTCATAACACACACAAAATTTGGAATACAGTACTAAGTTTGAAATCTGGAACACAGTACTAAGTTTGAAATCTGGACATTCACTATCTGGAATGACCTAATATCCAAAACACAAGACTCCCCCCTTTTTTTAATAACAAAGTCCAGGAATAGAGAATATAATTCACAAGAAAATGCATGGGTGCCTTAAAAGCTAAAACTATTTGATGTGTATTCGTGATATTTATAATGACGAGGAATTTGATTTAAGTCACATCAAAGATGGAGTACATCGAGATGAAATACTACATTTAGTAAGAAATTATAAGCCGAATAAAATAAAAACATCTGCCTTGAAGATAAGGATAGTGCTGACAGATCAACTTCCAATTCATTGCGCGCCGCAGCATTCCCCTCCCTTAGTGTCATGGTTAAAACTGAGTTTTTTTTATCCACAACTTTTGTACATTTGGTTGAAAGCTAGTTGTTACTCTTAACCCTTTAAAGGGCATATACCGGTTGTTTGTCAATTTTTTAACCTTCGAAAAATGCTAATTTCTCTACACCAAAAGCTATAATCATAAGTTTCTAGTATTTCCTTTCGCTTATAAAGGCAACACCACACTATGAATGCTCAATATTTTGCAGTTATGAAACTAATATACCTTGTTCCAAGGTATCATGTTTGAAGGTTGATAAATTCTATTGGCGGGAAAGAAAAAATTTTAAATCTGTAAATATATGACATACACATGCTGAAACTTTTATATTTACTACATTTCAATCGAAACTGATAATTAAAAGAAGATTATGTATATGTTTTTAACCGGTAGATTATGTATATGTACCGTTATATAATACATACCGGCACCCCTACTGAGGGTACCTTGCCAATAGATGGCAGCACCAGGCTTCTCCTCTACTCTGTGAGATGACAGCATTTCTTTACATTATAATAGTTTATGATGTAATAATTCATTTATGATCAACTTACAAGTTGTTTAGAATTCAGTATTATGCTCATGAAGGGATGGGGAGTTTACTGACCCTGCACTATAACTGAATACAAGTATATTTGTTTCTTTTTATTCTTTTTTCATTCCGTTTGAGTTTTATTCGTCTCTATTTAGCTAAAATTTTAGCTTCAGCACTTCACCATTTCCCAAGAGAAAGACTTATTGAATTCAAAATTGCCATCCGGGGTCAAAATTTTACACAATTGTAGGGGTTAAATGTGGCATGTTAGCTCCCAAAAGACACCCGTTGTTTCAAGTTTTCCAAAATCCTAGAACCCAACGAAAATGAAAGGAGGTGATTGACAACAGATTTGTCATTCCGGAGTCATGCTTTCTTCCCTTTGTGTGGTGTGATAAGATCACACAAAGAAAAAGTTTACTTTAAAATACAGGAAATGGAAGTGCACTTAAGGTCCATCTCTTAGTGTAATCACAAAAACTGGTGATTTGAAAGCATGCTTTTATTCTTATCGTCTTTGTTAATTTCAGATGAAAGACTAGGGAATGCAAGAGAATTTAGGGTTAGGTTACAAATAGTTTCAGATGCAAACTAGAATTTATCCAAAAGTTTAAAAGGAGCCCCTAGGAAGCCAAAGGGGTTGAAAATCGAAATAAGAGCTTTGAGGTGTATAAAATAATCAATTTGGTTAACAGTGTTTCTTCCTGAACAAAAGGATATATTATATTACAACCAATATTAACAAAAAATAAAAAAAGTAGCCCTTACGGTCTTCGATAATCTAAAGTCTAAAGTGTGTATGCGTGGGGGGGGGCGATTCTTGGTATCATAGCATGAACCATGGTTTTTTTACATATTATCTAAAGCGTAAAATATGACTTCAAAAGTGCAACATACTTTCTCATCTGAATCGTAGTGTTTCATTTTTAATTTTTTTTAATTTTTCGGCTGTTACATCTCCTTGTAATACTAGTTCAGTTAAAGCATGATACGATTTATGCATGCAGTGTCATATTTGCTAATTTTTTATAAAATAATAATATTGAATTTAAATCAAGTTCAAAAGCTTTTTACCCATATTTTACATAAGTATGTTCAGCTGGCGTGCATAAAAACATAAATTTTATTTTTTAAATTTTAAATTTCTACGGAAATTTTAAAAGTTTTTGTATTTATACTTACATAACTATATTCAAGCACCCATCTCTACAGATGAAGTACGCAAAATTAATTTTAAAAACAAAAATTAAAAATTGGCAGCTACCTGGAAAAAAAAATGTCAGAGGGGCACCGGTATAAAATATATACCGGCTCTCAAAATTTAGAATCCTAAATTTTGACTCTAGATTATAAATTAGACTCTAAATTTTGACTCTAGAAATTGAGACTCTAGAAGTCTCGATTTTGCATCCTTAGGGTCCATAAGTTATACTTCATGCAGATTTTACCACAATTTAAATTATTTTATATACCGCCCCTCAAAGGGTTAAAACAGATTGCAAGTACTGATCTGTCGTTTTTTCCCCCCCTTAATATTCATAGGAGAAAATGTTTGTTCACATATATAAGTACTACCACACATGGTAGCACATCTGCTTGCATTATTTTTTAAGTGTGAAAGTTTGGCAGGTAGAGATTTATAAAAGTCAAGAATGTCTAAATCACAGAACATGAATTTGCATAAGTCAGAAGTTTGTAAATCAAGAATTTCCATTTCAACATCTTCTGGAGCTTCTTTGACTACAACAGAAAATGGATCTCCAAACAGTTTAAATTTAACTTTACATAACTCAAAATCCATAAATCACTTTTGAAATGAAGTAAGGAACATCTTTATTTGATCTGAATAATCCAGTTGTTTATCAGGAAAATTTTCCTTGAGTTTCTTCAGGTAAAGATAATTGACAAAATTTTGACAGCCAAACTGCTTTGAGAACAGTTGAAGTTTCAGATTGAAAGCAGATACTACTCTGGCCAGTTGACTGATGAACTGTTCCCCCCGCCCCATCAATTTTTTTGTTTAGGTCACTCAGATGGGCTATCACATCAAATAAAAATCTGATGTGTACACCAACTTATTGGATTGAATTAAATCTACTTCGCCGACAACGCATAAACCACAATAGAATAAATGCATTCTTTAAAATTTACTGTAGTATTTGTTTACCATAGCGACACTCTGGCGCTAGATTCACTTAACAGTATTATATTTCGTTCATATTATAACTCATAATGCACAAAATTTATATCATTTAAAGAATAGAATTATCTAATCGTTGCCACATGTTCTATTCAAATACTATAATAAAGCTAGAATGATGTATATAAGAAATTAAGTAAACAAAACAAAAAAGAAACAGTTTTTCGCAGACAATTGAGTATTTCTCATTCAATTAATTCAGTTCTAACTTCGCGAGAAGGCAAAAATACATAAAAGCTCAAAATATCTATATTAAACATTACAAAGTAAATCTTAACCACTTATTTCCTCGAAAAAATTCCATAAAGGATTAAGCATGATTTAATTGGCAATAATAAATGAAGGCGTTATCTTTGTTGTTGCGAAGCTAAGTTTCTCTAGATATAGCAACAAATCCACTTAGTTCTGCCAAGTTTCAAAGTGTTACACAATCAATGGCCGCCATGAAAAAAAAAAAAAAAGGCTTAGCAGCACTTAAACAACTTTAAAATTGTTGATAATTCTAAAAATATTGCAGACAGATTTACTAAAGGCATAAAAACCTTAACCGGAAGATAAAAACAACATAATTCAATTATTTTTAAAGCAAAAAAAAAATGTACAATTTACAAACATATACGAGTAAAGAAACTCAGATCACTGAGCCGGGTAACAGAGGGGATATATATATATAAATACATATGTTTGGTGCGCCGATTGCAACCAAAATACGAGGTGCACATCTACGTGTTATAGCAGTCCTATATACAAAATTTCAACGTTCTGAGGCTACTCGTTTTTGAGTTATGCAAGATACGTACGTACGTTCGTACAGACGCTACGAAAAATTCTCTTCAGAATTCATTTTAAAGCAGTTTTATAATTTTTTTCGTTGAAATATGCTGCCTGAAACTTTTCGCGATTACAATACTTCCTTTTTACTTCATACAAGGAAGTAAAAATGCTAAGTCACACTTGAAAGATAGTTCCTTTAACATCCTAGTTTGCTACCTTTTTTTTCATAGGAAGGGTATTATATCATCAATCAAATCAGCAAACATTCTCAAAGCCTCATATGGCTCAATTACCGTACTTCAGAGTAATATATGAGAAAACTACGAGTATATGAGTAATATAAGAGTATAAACTAATATATGAGAAAACTGTGTGTTCTAGGATTTCCTTAAATTGTCGGTGGTTTATACCATTTGAGCAAATAAAATTGATTGTATCGCTCACTACCTTCATTAGTCAAATCCTAGTTCTTTCGCACACAGCTGTTCTTGGTGTATGATACGCTAATACTCAAGCAAATCTTTGCCTCGATCATTCAAATGGTTTCTCAATAGACTCACCATGCCATTCTAACTTCCAGTCATGGCAGTAGTAATACTAGCAAGTTTGTTAGTATCAAAATTATGTACAGAACACAAATTTAAAATGGATGATAAAATATCAGTTCCAGTTGTTCGCCCCTTCGCTGAACTCATTCCACAAGCTCTTCAGTAACTTCATAATTTTCAAAAATTCCTCTAACAAACAAAAGCAGCTGAGCTGTTGAAATAATGTCTGTTGACTCATTAACTGCTAGAAAAAGGTACTTAAATTTAGCGACAGCAATCTGTAATTGTTCATCAACATTATTAGATAAATTTTCAATTCTTCTTTGAACTGTCATTCTGCCGAGATTCACATTTTTTAATTTCTTTGTAGCTTCAGGACATACTTTCTTGGACACCAAGAATATACACTCCTTTTCAAAATCACCATCAGTAAATGGGTGGCCACTTTTAACAACTAAGGCTGTAATTTCCAAACTACCTTCAGCACAGTTATCTAACTGCAAAATGCCTTTACAAATACATGCCTTTGTGCAGTGAAAGAACGGCAGAGAGATTCAATTTTATGTTTCTGATCCTCTCCCTCAAGCTTTGAAAATGTTGATGTCGCAGTGTCACTTCATATTATACTCCTTTCAAATACTAATCGTAAAATTACATATCAAGCATGTTATTCTAGTATCTTGCTCCACCAAAAAGTCCAGTCCTCCGAAAATTTCCTATTATCATCTACTACCTTTCTTTTTGTTTTCAATCCTTTTATCATGACAAGTAACTATCAAAACCCCATGGAACAAAAATGACAAAAATTCTATGTTGGTTCCTCTTTCAAAATAATATTTAAAAAAATGAAATATTCAAAACAAGAAACCTCTTAATGCTCTCGAAAAGAAAAATAAACACACAAGCGATAAAACAATTTACAGTCACAAAGCCAAAAGTGCAACAACGCAAATGAATGCAGCATTTCCAATCTGAGCAAATATTTTTCTCTCCCTTTCTGCTAGCACATGCGTGCAAACACACTCGTGCTATGTCATACCACAGACCCTTTCTCAATCTGTGCAGTGTACAGATTAGGAGCAAGTTTCATGTTCAGGCGGTGAAACTTGCTTTGGTTGATGCAGGGAACTTGACTCAGTGGCAAATCTCACTTTGTGAGGAGAGAATAGAATGAGTAACGAGGAGGAAGTAGTGCAATTTTTTTCTGCTCGCAACCATATCTAGAGACAACTGATATGTCAAATCGCAATACCATTTTTAAGAGGTCTCGGCAGGCCACAGGTTGTGCAGCTAGAGGGTATCATACCCATTATTAGCAAGATGATTCTATTGTACATTCTTCCAAACCATTTGGTCTTTGGCGATGTGATGGTCATAATGCATGTGTTTTATGGATGTCTTTGCTTTATTATTTGGTATGTGATCTAGTAATGCCACACCAACCTCTTGGATCAATTTCATTCATACCCATTAAATAGTTTTTATTTTATTCTGTGTTTTGCCTTTGTTGCTTATTTTTTTAACACCTCACACGCACACTTCAGAATCTTTGGTTTCTAATGACCTCAATTATTTGAAATCAGTTGCCACTGACAGAGGATTTTCTTATATGGTCTTTGATAAATCTTTTTAAAAACTTTCATCTTGCCATCAAAGATATTGCACCGTTAGAAGCACGAATAACAGCCTTGCAATCATTTTATGTTATACTTTTATCACTTAAAATTAAGATGGATTCTCCAGAAATTCCTTTCAAACTATTTTCTCATCTATCAAGTAAAATTCATTGCTCAATTCTTAACCCCTTAACTGCCGTGGGTGTATATATATTGTAATATCTTGTTATTTAATAAATAAATATAATTATTGTTGAAGTGGCAACGCCATATTTGTATTACCGTTACTCAGTAACGTGAGATATTGTTTTAAAAAAAAATTAGAATTCTGAAGATTTTAACAGCTAGCAGTAGTATGAAAAATTTGCCACTTAAGAATTGTATAAAATTTGTCTATCACCGTGAACTAGAAATAAAATTTATGTTCTACTAAGATTGTCTGTTTTGTAAATTACTGCAGAATACATTACAATATATACGACTTGCTCAGCCAATGTGTTAACTGCCCCGAGCGTATATATACGCCCTTCCAAACTACTATCATTTGCTTTGCGCTGCGACCCGTAAAATTATTCACAAAGCTTTGGAATGCAATACCACAATGACCTTGACAAAGTATACAAAGGAAGATACTGTTTCAGAAAAGTGTGGGGAGAAAATGGAGAGGGGTGTGTATAAGCGGTGGAAGTAATGACTGCGTGATATTGGCCGGTGTTTGAGTAAAACGTATTTTTTTTTTTATTCAGTTTCCTCCATTTTCGTTTACTTTTTGTAGTAGGTTCCAGAAATAAAGAAAGATATCACGGATGTTTCAAACTTATTTATCATTTTGAATTATTTTTTGGTTTGGTTTGGTTTATTTAATTATTGCAAAGCACACTAGGGCTATCTGCCTAAGGGAAGGGATGCCTTCGTGGAGGACTATCTAAGGGAAGCTGGCTCGTATACACATTACACATAGGGGAAAACACGAAAACGCCCATGCCGCCAGCCCATTTGCGGGTTTCAAAATACAGTGTTCAGCGACTTTACCGCTCGGCTGCTGGTGGGCCGAATTATTTTTTGATGAATTGCTCGTGCTTCATATTGTTACTGAAGCTAACCGTTTTGTAGATGGGTATATGAACCAACACCTTGCAAACGAAAAAATCAACAACAAAATCGTGACATTCAACCAGTTCAGAAGAAATATAAGTTTTTTAAGGCATACTGATTTCACAAGGTATAACACTGAAACCTGATATTACACTTTACTGGTCTAAAAATGAATTGATCAAAATTCCATTTTAGGGATCTTTTTTATTATAAAAACATCATTTTTATTATACTTACATATTTTTATTATACTTTTACTCAAAACATTAAATTTTGTGCATTAATTTTTTCTTTTATTCTTTATTTTTGAAAGTAAACAGTTTTTAGAAAGTAAAAACCTGCACTTATTTTCCCCTAATACATCGCATAACTACGCATGTCTGTGTGAAAACCGTGGCACTGGGAAATGAATCTTGTTAGTTTTCCGCGGCAGTTAAGGGGTTAAAAGATTCCATCTCTGACTTAATTCTTGGGAATTTATAGCATATCCTGTCAACATGATTCCAGCTAAACTAAAACACTGTTCAAATTTTGCATCAAAGAACATGAATCTTATGTTTGAAAAGGAGAAATAAGCAAAATATTCGATGGTTGGAATTTAATTATGACTGTGAAAATAATCCAAACTTTTTCTGTTGATAAATTCAATTTCCTTGAAGCTTTTCATTTCACAAAAATATTTCTTCTTTAGTTAATGACAGTAATTTCAATCCAGTCTTACTTAACGCTTTTAGAATTCTAGTACCTTTTCAAGTCCCATTACGATTACTGTTTTCCTTTACAAACAGCACAAAATTTATGGCTGCTATGCTCCACCTATTATTTCTGATAAATATTACATTCGTTGCTTCTCTATTCTTTGCATTTACTTTTGCTCCTAAAGAAGACTTACCATGTTCTGATCACCTTCGAAATTGACCATTTTATTTAAAATATATGTCAAAATACGGTTGCTCTTTTGCTTAATCTGAAGTACATTCAACATATTACAAAGCAAAATTAAAAACAACAATTCTGAAATCTATGGAAAATACTTAATAATAATCACAATGATGTGATAATGATAAAACAGAAAATAGCATTTAAATATTACACAATTAGAAAGCTAAATTTTACTTCCAACACTTCTACATAAAATCTTGTCTACAAATTGCAAATGCTTCACATTTTAAAATCAATAATCTTTTTATGAATTCACTAAAAAAAGAGAGAATGAGAGATTACATGGAGGTGGAACACACACAAAAAAAAGTATAATTTTTAACAGCAAATAATATTTACATGTATAAAACTGTACCACCTTCTGGTGTTTTTCCCCAAAAATATTATTATTTTTGATTAAAAATAATTTGGAAAAGAAAATACTTACATTCCTATGGACATCCGTAAATGAGTGGTACAGATAAAACCTATGCATATACACAATTGCAGTATTAATGCACAGCTGAGAGCTAAGAAAATGTTAAGTAAATACATTCATGTCAAATAAACGTTTTTATAAAATAATAGCAAAATACTTATCTACTATGTTATATTTGTAAAATAATTGTTGCATTGTTAAAATAATAATTTTTTATGCTAAAGTAATGACGAATTTTATAACATAACATGATACACCAGAAAGTCCAAAGCTACAGCCAGTAGTGGCTTTACATAACACCATAAAAGAAATTACATTTAAGGATCAGAATACCTGAAACACTTGCTATAATAGAGAATGAAATGAAAAATTCACAAACAGACCAAAATTACTTTTCTCACATCCCACAGTAAGATATGAGACAAGTTTTGTTTTAAAATTATCGTTAAGACAGTGAAACCTCGAGATACGAGTTTAATTCATTCCAGCATTGAGCTCGTATAGTGAATTTCTCAAATCTAGAAAAATATTTCCCCATTAAAAATAATGGAAATCTAGTTAATCCATTCCGCACTTCTCAAAATCTCATTACCATCACATCTTCAGTCGACGTACCTGGTATTTTTCGGAGAAGGTCTAAGAACAGATTCTTTACCCTTAATGCAATTTATAGCTTCCAACACCGAATTGCCTTTAACTGCTTCCTGTTAATCCACACCAACAACAGTTTCTCGACATCTTCGAGAAGTTTTGAACGGTGCCTGAAAATAACAATAATTCCTTTGGCCACATCAAGTTTCTTAATTTCTTCCTTCTTCAGAATAGTGTAGATTGTCAATGTCGAACAGCCGTAGTCTTCGCCAATTCCATCCCTCTTACATGACGCTTATGTTAATCTTTCTTTCTTAATTTCAACGGCCCATGGCTTCCTTCTTTTTATTTGCAGTACTATATGAGGCAACAATCTTCTTGGGAGACCTATGACAAAAATCTATATGGCTGATATTTACATCCTCACAGCCAGCAGATACTATTCAGCAAAATGAAGATTAAATAAAGCATATGAATAAATGAGAATCAAACATGTGCGAGTTGTTTATTGTCCCATAGATCGCTCGGCAATATACCTAAAACACATTAATTATACCAACTCTATTAGAGGATTAGGAGGTGCACATCATTGAGTTTGTTTTATGTGATTACGGCAAAGCCTCGAGGGATATCTGCCTAACAGGAGAGATCCCTTTGTAGATTTTTTTAAACTGGCTTGTATACAAGTTACAAATGGGGAAAACCAAGAAAATGCTCATATAGCCACCCCATTCGCGGCATTCTAATGTCAGACAGAAATACCAGGGTTCAAAGACGCTTCGGCCACTAGTAGGCCCGTGCACATAATTGAAAAGTGCAATTCATTATGTAAACACACATGAAAGTGATAATCAGTTGTGCACTATTTTAAGTAATCAAATGTTATAAATGCACGGTTGCTACATCTATTATTATTTATTAGTCATGTTTATATTACGTAGATTTTACATATGATATAATTATGAATGAACCCAAAAAAAATGTGTAACTCTTAGTACTCAAGTGCTCATCAATTATTTTTCAACTGATTATTACATATCCATAATAATTTGCAAAGAACTGATGACTACAGTTGCTGCTAAATACATGATCATTATATGAATTAGAAGTAACTTCAAATAAACTTCTTGGCAATGTTCATTTTTGTATTCATACACACATATATATCTACACATTTAATAAGTCATATATTTACATACAGATAGAGAGATGTAATGGTTTAGAAGTTGTTGATATATATTTATTAGTATTAATGTAATGAATAAAATTTATAGTAATGAATGTATATACAAATGTTTTTCATCATGCATAATAATAAATCCAGAAATTTCCAATGTTTCAATATGTAACAATAAAAGTTTAGTTTATATATATTATATCCAAAAAGTATTTCATTATTACATGAAAAAATAGACAAATTTAATGAGTCTTCTCATTATTACATAAACTGCTTTTCTTTTTTTATGAATTTTTTATGATGTTTAAAATGTGTCACTGATTATGCAATTAACAATTTAAAAGATAAGTAATTAGGAGGAAAGCCACACGTATACAAACGATTTTAAAAAATTATTCAACTAAATTTAGAAATAAAATTCTGTTATATAACATGATACTACTACACGATCAGCACAAAATACGACAAATTTGGCGAACTTTTGGTGACAAAAAATTTGTAAACAAATCAGAACTGCAAGAACGTTATAAAATACTAAATCTGAAATTTCCAAGATTATATATTTAATGAATATATAAACATTTTAAAAATGACTCAGGCAGTTATATTAGAACAAAACAGCAATAAATAAATCAACCCCTATTTCCACCATACATGACTTTACAGTGAGAGCCATCGCCATATTGAAAGTTACCCATGATCCTTCAGAAGCAGAAATTTTGTCTGATTGGTTGAACGTACGAGGAACACGTTTCCAGACAAAACATTTTGGGGAAAGTTTCAAAATGTTGTTCATAGCCGGGACATGTTGCGCCTAGCTAGACGAAACATTTCTCGGAAGCCTCCCGTTTAAAGCAATGCTACTACAATCTCGTTTCTCGGAATTATCCCATGTAGCCGCACGTGTTCCTAGAAATAATAGCCTCTTAAGGAAAACAAGAAAAAATTTACCCCTGGGTTAGGCTACAAGTATGGGGTTTAGTCTTCACAGCTGATGAAAGAAGGGATATATTTCTAAGGCCAGTTTTAGATGCAAAATATTTATCTTTGGAAGGAAAAAAAAAAGGGCAAATATTTGAGTTTTTAAAGTTTTGATAGAAATAAGAGGTTTGAGGTGTATCAAATAAAAAAATCGTTTAGCAACTTTTCTTCTTGAACAAAATGATATTGCAACCTATATTTACAAAAAATTAAAAAGGCCCCTTACCGGGCCTGATAATCGAAATTGTACATGTAGCGGGGCCGATTCTTGCTACCATAGCATGAAGCATACTCTTTTTATGTATTACCTAAAGCATAAAATAGAATAACTTAAAAAATGTAACATAATTTTTCAGCTGAGTCGTAATGTTTCATTTTTAATTTTTTTTTTTACCTGAGTAACACTTTTTTGTAACGTTATACTACCTCAATTATAGCATGATACAGTTTCTTCATGCAGTAATGCATGCATATTTGCTAAAATTTTTCATAAATAATAATATTGAATTTAAATCACTTTTAAAATCTTTTCACCCTCATTTTGCATAAGTATATTCAGCTGGGTGGCATCATCAAAGTGCAAAAAAAATTTATTTTAAATTTCTAGTGAAATTTTACAAGTTTTTTTGTCTCAGATTGACATAACTGTATTCAAACACCCATCTCTATACATGTAATCTGTGGAAAAAAAAATGGGACAGTTATATATATCCTGTTCTATTGGGCCAATTGACAAAATTAAAATTGAGTTTTTGATGTATCGAAAGCGCGACTTAGATATATATTAGATTTATATATAGCACTGTTCTAACATAGGTATTCTGATGCAAAATCGGACTTTTTCTGAAATAACATACCATTTTGTTTACATATTTCGATTCTACGACTCAAATTATGCCAGACTGCCAAGCTTTGTAAAAATCGCACAAGTACTTTTTAAAAATTAGCTCCTCAATATTAATTGAATTTGTCATATATTTATTAATATCTCTTTTTTCATAAAACTTTTTTTTTTTCCTTTCACATTTTGAAATTTAGGTTCCCTTCAAATAAATTCCCCCATTTTTGTGTTTTATTTTTCAAATTTCTATTTTTAATAATTTTTTATAAATTTTTTGAAAAAAATTGAATTTAACTTATAAAATTTTTACCATCATCATAAAGTAGGTGTAGTTCTAAGCATTCCTGCAAAAAATTAAGTTTTTTATTCAAAATTTCCGAAGATATACAAGAATTTACATATTGGCATGTTTAGAAATTTGGCATCTTTTTTTTTTGAGCGATAATATGCAAAATGTGGTTTATGGAGTTTTGTTACAGTGAATTGCAATAGCTATTTTTAACCTTAAATTTCAAATAAATTTTTATGGATAATTAATTATATGAAATGTTTCCCCTCAATGATGCATAATAAATATTTAATAATACTATATGAAAAGGTATTTTTTAAAATTATACATGATATTATTCAAATTTTTAACTTTTTTTAAAATTTCTTTCTTCCTTTTCTTTTTAAATATTTGTAAGAGTAAATTTTTGCCTTGAAGTGTTATCGTCTGCTCTTTACTCTGACTGCATTTAAATTGAAATGTCTAAAACTCAGAAAGGTCGTTTGAATTTATTTCCACAATGTTTTTAAGAAAACAGGACGTTGACAGTTTGGTTCATGTCCCAGCTTTAAAAATTATATAATAAGTATAAATTTTTACATTAATCTTTTCAACGAATGGTTTAAGTGCTAATTTTCTCTCATGTTATAGATTGCATAAAAAAATATAATCTTTAATATGATTTAGATTGTTTGTAGCCGATATGATAATCGGGTCACTCGGTGGTACAGAATAAACATTGCTGGACTGTTTTATTTTTTTGTCATTTAACAAAAAATCTTTTAATTAAAATATTTATCCTCTGGACTTTGCTTTAAACTTTATTTATACAGTCAAAAGTCGTTAATCCGAACTTCGGCGATTCCGGATTATAGATCATCAGTTTAAATCTGGTAAGATGGCATGCAGAAATTATAAAATTAAAAATATGAAACCGTAATTTATGAAATAAAGAACAATTATGATCTAAAGGGTATCAAAATTTACAAAAAAAAAAAAAAAAAAAAAGGTTAATATTTATTTGTTTACTTTATTAAACATTTCTTTCAATGTAAGTTGTTTAAGTTGCTTCATTTTTATGTGATAATACTTCTCTTTAATTCTATAAACAGACATAATTTCTTCTTCAGTTACAAAGTTCCGCTGTTCAAGTCCTATAATTGCTGTGTCGAGAATACCGACTAATTTGTCAATCGAAATTTTTTCATTTTCAATAACCTCTGTGTCACTTTC